GAAACATGCAACTAATGAGTCAGGCAAAGAAGAATACTAAGGCCGAAAGTGTCGGCTACCGTGTCCATTTTACAGACTCCGGGTTCCTCATAAACAGGTGGTCCGTAAGACACGCCTGACAAATGGAAACATGTTACACTATATCAACTTGTGGAACTGAAATCAAAAATCTTTCATTTATTAAAATAATGGCGATGCTTCCTCAGCATGCCCTCTTTCATTTAAGCAATAAACATTCACCTCCGCCTAAATATAACCTGAACACTTTATTTTTACTTTTCAATTGAAATCTCTTTCAAAACCTCTGCCAAAGAATCTTACAAAGAATCGATTCAAACTCATCGCAAAGAAATGCATCAAAACTGGGCTGTTTACCAAATGGAATGCAAAAACTGTCCGCATCTTCATCTTATTTCGCCGCTTCTCCTTTCGGTTCGCGGAGGCAGATGCGTCCCACAGCACTTCCTACGTTCCCGATCCTGAGCGAGAGTCTCAGCTTCGGCAGAAGATAACTGGAGTCTGGACAAGACTCCTTTATGTATTTGAACCAGTTTAATTTTGACCGTCCCCTGGGCAAAAAATAGCTGCATCGCCTTCCTCTACAGAAGTACTCGCAACAGGTGCCCAAACATGCCCACTTGTGATTTCTCATTCCGAAGAAGCAGCGGCTGCAGACCAAGGTTCTCGCCGATGTCAGTATCTTCATCTTCCATCGCCTCTTCTCCTTTCGGGTCGCGGAGGCAGACATGTCAGACAGAGCTTCCAACGTTCCCAATCCTGTGCCAGAGTCTGAAATTCGGCAAAAGAAACATGGAGTCTGGAACAGACTCCTTCTATCTATTTGCAACAGGTTGATTTTGGTCAGCCCCTGGGTCTTCTGCCGGTCGGGTTTGCAAGGCACAGTTACTTAGCCTTCCTTTCTGGAAGCATTTGCAACACATGCCCAAGTCATTGCACCTGTGACTTCTCAATCTGGAGAAGCAAAGGTTGTATTCCAAGGCTCCTCCGGATGTCGCTATTGCGGACCATGTCGAGAAGCGTTAGGCCGGCGACTCGTCGAAAAAAGCCCATTTCAGCAGCTTGTACCCGGGTTCGAAGTTTTTAGTCCACGATTCATAACCGTAGAGAAATATGGCGATAAAGATCGATTCGAATACCGAGAGCTCTGCTTTAGTAATAATGGGTTGGGCTAGTTCACGTAGAACGTCACTGGCTACTCCAATTCGCCGGTCGATCTCTTTCTCCAATTTTTCATCACTAGTAAATACAGTTCCGAAATACT